GACCTTACATGTAAGGTCCCCGCTGCATATAGGTCTACCATTAAGTACATAACTTGGCTACGTTCCTGTTTTAGCGCATGCGCAATATCTCACCAGAGGAGTTATATTTTGTGATGAAAATGCGTTTAATATGGTCAGTGGGTATCTCAGCATCGAATTCTGTAATAAATTCTCATCAGTAGTCCTGTGTTTATAGAACTTTTAGGAGAGCGCCCTAGCTTGTAGGGTGCAAAACTCCAACTTTATCCCCGCCCGCCCTCCCCCTTGTCGTTCCTGTCGCACGCTCAGCATTCTTCTTCTTCTACCGCCCCTCGACTGTCTTCCCTGCCACGTTCCCTCAGTTTCCCACCCCTCTCTCCCTCAGCAAGCTATATTTACATACTTCTTCTTTGGCCGTACTGCACGTCTGAAACGGTGATCGCGCATGCGCAATATCTCCCGAGAGGAAGAATATTTTGCAAACTTTATAAATTTAAAATGAAGAGGAGTTATCCTAGCATAGATTTATATAATAAAATTTCATCAGTAGACTTCACTTCAGAAATAGGAAGCTGCCCTTGCATGAAATGTCCCCACTGCATACACTAGTCAGTACATAAACTGACTACGTTACTGTATCAGCGCATGCGCAATATCTCACCAGTGGAGTTATATTTTGCGATAAAAACGCATTTACTGTGGTCAGGGGATATCTCAACATAGGTTTCTGTATTAAATTCTCATCAGTAGACCTGTGTTTATAGTTCGGAGAGCGCCCTAGCCTGTAGGGTGCAAAACTCCTACTTTATCCCCGCCCGGCCTTCCCTTTGTCTCCATTGTCGCAGGCTCAGCCTCCTTCTCTATCCACCGCCCCTCGACTGTCTTCCCTGCCATCTTCCCTCAATTCCCCACCCCTCTCTCCATCAGCAAGCTATATTTACGTACTTTTACTTTGGCCGTACTGCACGTCTGAAACGGTGATCGCGCATGCGCAATATCTCCCGAGAGGAAGAATATTTTGCAAACATTATAAATTTAAAATGAAGAGGAGTTATCCTAGCATAGATATATATGATAAAATTTCATCAGTAGACTTCACTTCAGAAATAGGAAGCGGCCCTTGCATGAAAGGTCCCCACTGCATATACTAGTCATAACAGTACACTGCATATATCAGTACATAACCTGGCTACGTTACTGTTCTGATATAGTGCCCTTGGCCGTATATATCATTGTTTCAACTTATTTTATTACAACTTAAAGATAACCACACTCAATAAATTGTTTCTATAATATTAGTATAGACATCTACAAATGATTTGAGCTATTTCTGAAATAAACTGGATGAGTATTATTGAAATTATAGCCAAATCCCAAAGACAAACCCAAGGTGTAACAAATTAACCGTTAACACGCAAGGAGCCGCTGTACGCCACCAGGTGGCGTTATTCAATTGGCTCTAGGCACTATATCAGAAAATCTTCAGGACCTATTGCATTATGCGTGTGTAAAGTTTCACAATACTAACCCAATGTGCCCATGTGTCATATTATGCCATGTGCCAATGTGCCAATGTGCAATGTGCACAATGTGCCCATTTTTATGTGCTTATCCGCTGGACAACTAGCTCAGTGTCACATTGGAGTAATCATTCTGACTGATTACTCCAAAGTGTCACTAACATCCTTGTAACGTGGCATAGATTATAGCAGGAATCTCTGTTCGCGCATACCTAATAACTGCTAAAAGCAATAATATTTTCATGAAACTATACCTTCAAAGTAAAAAGCACAAACTCTCATGACGTTTTACGTGATAAATTTATCCAAATACCTCACTTCATTAATTATTGGACGCTCTGGCTTCGCGAAGCATCAATTCCTCACAACGCCGAGACAAATGCTGCAAGCATTTCTATGCCGTTGGTCGGCGCCAGTGTCGCACATGAAAAATTAG